TACTACAACTATGGAAGGCTTGAAGATGGACCCTAAGAAGGTGGAAGCAATTGTATCATGAGAAGTTCCAAAGACGATTAGAGATGTACAATGCTTTCTTAGCTTTGCTAAATTCTATCGGATCTTCATCAAGAATTATTCTCAAGTTGTTGCTCCGCTCACTCGGTTGACATGTAAAGACATGCTTGAATGGAAACCTCTAGCAGAAAAAGTGTTTCAAGATCTTAAGATGGTATTTACTATGGCTCCAATTTTGGTACATTCGGACTTTGCAAAGGCCTTCTATTTGGAGATCGATGCTTCTGATTTTGCTATGGAAGCTATACTTTTGCAGATAGACTCAAATAAAAAGCTTCATTCCATTGCATTCTATTCTTGAAAGTTTTTTGCTACCGAGATCAACTATGAGATTTACAATAAAAAAACTTCTTGCGATAGTAGATTCTTTCCAAGAGTGGCGTCACTTTCTCTAAGGAGCTGCACATCCAATGACCGTATATACAAATCACAAGAATTTGAAATACTTCATGTCCGCTCAGGTTCTGAATTGTCATCAAACTCGATGGAATATGTTGCTATCTAAGTAAGACTTTGTTATTACTTATCGGCTTGGGAAGCAACAAGGACTATCCGATGCATTATCAAGGAGAACGTATCTAGTGCCAAAGGCTAGAGAAGCACCGTTTGATCAAGAGTATACAATATTGTTGAAGTCGGAACAATTCAGGCTTTGCTCTGCTATAGTGCCAATTGATGTTGACTTCTTCAACCAGGTACGTACTATGACTATTGGAGATTTTGTAGCCCTCGATATCATTCAACGTGTCAATAATGTCAAGTTCAAGGTAGAAGGAGATCTATTATACTTTGAGGAGCGGTTGTATATTCCAAAGATACCAACACGACTCCGAGTTCTCCAATCTCAACACAACTTTCCAACTGCAAGACATTTTGGATTCAATAAGACCTTGAAACTTATTTCTCGAGATTTTTAGTGGCTCCAAATGTAGAAGGATGTCAAGGATTTTGTCCTCTCTTGTGACATTTGTTCAAGATCCAAGAACCCTTGATATTGTCCTTATGGTCTTTTTTAGCCATTGCCTATTTCATGTCGACCATTGCCTATTTCATGGTCTTTAGTTTCCATGGACTTCATTACAGACCTGCCGCCATCGAATTCATTTGACAACATCTTTGTTGTGGTAGATTGGCTTACAAAGATGACACACTTTATCCTTTGCAAGAAAACATCATCAAACAAAGATACAACAAGGCTCTTCTTTGATAGTGTGTATCGATATCATGGTTTACCAGATGATATCGTGTCGGATCTAAGAATCCAATTCGTATCAAAGTTTTGGAGATCTCTCTTTGAGATATTGAAGGTGGATATCAAGCTTTCTTCGGCTTTCCATCCTCAAACTGACAACTAAATAGAACGGATGAATCAAATTTTGGAGCAGTATTTACAATGCAACATCAACTTTCAGCAAGATGATTGGACTGCATATCTATCGTTAGCAGAGTTTACATATAAAAATACCCTTCATGCATCGATTCAACAAACACCATTCTTTTCCAACTATGGGTATCATCCGAAGCTTGATTTATTGAGTCCATCAACCAATAACAACCGAGCAGCTGAAAGATTTGTGAAACAACTATCGGAGCTTCAAACTACGTTGAAGCTTTAATTGCAAATCGCTCAAGAAGCTTACAAGGTATCCACAAATAAATTTCGGAATTAGGCACTTACTTTCAAAATTGGAGATAAACTATGGCTGCTTTGACAGAATATCAAAACCAAGTGGCCATGTGATAAGTTAGACTACTAGAGATTCGGACCATCTGTCATCCAAAAGCAAATTAATCCAGTGGCATACCGTCTAGAGTTACCGGCTGCTATGAAGGTACATCCAGTCTTTCATGTTTCTTTATTGGAGTCTTATCGAGAGTCGTCTTTTCCTACAAGAGTGCAATGTCCACCACCTAGTATTAAAATTGAGAACCACGAGGAATACGAGGTGAAAAAGGTACTAGATTTGTGGCATAAGTGGGAGAAATTGGAGTACTTAGTATATTGAAGCGACTATGATATCAATGAGCGCACATGGGAACCAGTAGAAAATCTTATCAATGCGTCACAAAAGGTATAGGAGTTTCATCGACGCTATCCTCAGAAACCTAAGTCCTTTTGATGAAAGTTTTTCAGTAAAGTTCTTTCTCCTTGAAGCCTCTTAATCCTCGGCCTTACAAAGAAGGGAGAGAAGGAACCTCTAAAAGACATAGTTAGAGACTATAAATCTGTAACATGAGCCCATGCTTCCATGTTTAGTACTTGTTTGTTTGTTTTATTTATTTATTTATTTATTTATTTATTTATTTATTTATTTATTTATTTATTTTTTATGTGATATGGATAGCCAAGAGATATATATCATATTAGTCATGTCCTCTCAACTGAGTATCTCATGAAGACGACCCTAAGATGAAGAACTACCTGTACAATGAAGAGGACAAAGGATACCCAGTAACAAGTCTCTAGTGATTGTGTTTGAGGTAGAACCTGCCTACGGTGATCTTCTCGAAGGAGTGTTTGCAGGGTATTTTCACAATAAAGACATGGAAGTTTATGCCTGATCAGAAATCAAAGGCGTAGGATACTATTGTTGGTTACAAGGACCAATGAACTACTTGCTACACGAACAACAATTGGAGTATATTGTGGACACTATACGACAAATTTTCAACTTCTTATGTTGGTATTGACTCGCAATATGAGTGCTTTTCGGAGACCTCGAAGCTAAAAGGGGGAGGTGATATCAAAGACATACGCTAGGAAGTTGTAGAAGATTCTAGAAGTTTTTAGAGAAGCTTTGTAGTTTGTAGAAGCTACTTGAGAAGTTTTTAAGCTTGTGGAAGCTACTTGAGAAGCCTCTTAGCTCGTGGAAGGTCCTTGAGAAGCTTCCTAACTTATAGAAGCTGCTTGAGAAGCTTCCTAACTCATAGAAGTTGCTTGAGAAGCTTCCTAGTTTGTGGAAGCTACTTGAGAAGCTTCTTAGCTTGTAGTATATATAGGAGCCAAGACTAAGGGAATCCTCAATCTCGACAATACACCTCTTGGATCTCTAGCTCACCTCTCTAGTATTGTTCTTATACTCATCTGATTAATCTAGTTCTTGTCGATTCTTCTTGAGCTTCCTGTTTAGATTTCCAGTCAGTTTTCAAAATTTGTGACAAAGAGGCCAACCAACACTTGAGTGGAATTAAGGATTTTTCTTCCATCTCATATGTGTGATTATCTTCAAAATTTGTATGCTTGTTGCCAACTTAGTTTTTGAAAGGTATGTATATTTTTAAGCAAGTTCAACAATTCAATTGATAGATATTGAGGTTCTAAACTACATTAAGGTTAGATTGAGGAAAGTTAGGATTTAGTTTAGGATTTAGGATTTGATCTAGGATTTGGTTTAGGTTTTAGGATTTGTTTAGGATTTGATTTGAATTTGATTTAGGGTTTAGGATTTATCTAAGATTTGATTTAGGATTTGATCTAGGATTTGGTTTAGGTTTTAGAGTTTGTTTAGGATTTGATTTGAATTTGATTTAGGATTTAGGATTTATCTAGGATTTGATTTAGGATTTGGTTTAGAGTCAAAGGTTTGATTTAGGATTTTGTTTAGATTCAAAGGTTAGATTTAGGATTGGTTTAGGATTTAAGGTTTGTCTAGGATTTAATTTAAGGTTTGATTTAGGGTCTAAGATTTGATTTAGGATTTGATTTAGGATCTAGGATTTGATTTAGGATTTGATTTAGGATTTGATTTAGGATCTAAGGTTTGATTTAAGATTTGATTTAGGGTTTAGGATTTGATCTAAGGTTTGATTTAGGATTTAGGATTTGATTTAGGATTTGATTTAGGATTTGATTTAGGATCTAAGGTTTGATTTAAGGTTTGGTTTAGGGTTTAGGATTTGATCTAAGGTTTGATTTAGAATTTAGGATTTAGGATTTCAACTAAGGTTAAATTAAAACTTGGTTGAGATTTATTTAAGATATATTTTTGATTATTTTAATATTTTTTGGAATTCTTAAAGATTCTTTTAAGATTTATTGTAGATTTTCTTTTAATTCCTTTAAAAAATTTTATTGTTTCTTTTGTAATTTCTTTAAGGTTTCTTTTGAATTTAATTAAAGTTTGTTTAGCATTATTAAGGTTTAATTAGAATTTATTTAGTATTCTATTAGAATTAGGATTTTGTTTTTACAATTTCCATTCTACCTTCTATGGTTAGGTGCGTGGTGTACTCTCAAGTAAGACTTCACGTAATATGACAACAAAAATCAGAAGGTTTTTAGCAGCATGTATTTTCTATTATATATGGATACTTCTTTTTGCACATATAATAGATCTATTGTATGAATTATTAAGAAAGAATCAAAAAATTTAATGGGAAAGAAGAAAAAAAAAAAAAAAAACCATGGAAAAATTAAAAGAACTTCTTTCTTTACTTTTAACCTTGAAGAAAGTGAATTATAAATGTGAAAGGCTAAGGATATTAATAGTTGATGCAAGTCCAATCAAAATAGGTTGGATAATTGGACAAGATGATGAATAAGAAAATAGATATATAGAAAAATTTAGAACAAAAGTTTTGAATGTTAAGCAGAAGGCATATGTACAAATCTAAAGAGAATTATAGGGTGTAGTAATATCTATGAAAAATAAAAAAATAGTATTTAATTGGTACATTGGTAATTATAGAAATAAATTGTCTACCTGATTACATAAATTGTCTACATGATTACAAGTTGTTCAATTCTTGATATTCCTATGTTAAAGTAGATAACATATAACATATATCAAATCTATGAATCTATAATTTAAACACATTGCTGGCAGGTAGCACACTCCAGTGTGAACATTACTTTACATTTACATCTTGCAAAAAACACAAAAGACTACAAGTGGGCTTCCATAGTATATCATTCAGAGAAGTTGACGAATACAAAACATTTCATTGCCATTTCAACTTTCGTGAAAACATGTGAAAAACAGACCTTTGTACCGCAAAACTATGCCAGTATGGCCTAAAAATTCTTTCTAATCTTTCTGTGAATGTTTCTTGTTTATTTGCATGAGTAAGGGAAAATGCTTCTCCTTGCCATGACCATGTGAAATCGCTGGTTCCAAACATAGAATTTCATGTTAAAAACGAGACGGAGTCTCAGTGGGAATTGGGTCGTTAAGTTTCTCTCCAGGAAAAGTAAGAACTAGTACACCTATCTATGATACTTATGAATACATATTATTCTTACTCATGCTAATGTTTCTGAGGAACAAACCATGACTTTCAATGAAAAATTTCCTCCTACTTTCCAAAGTTCTTAGCCCAGAGTAATGACTACCACTTTATTTAAAATACATGTTTGATGTGCGTCCTGTTTGGACAAGCTCTTATCGTCGTCGATCAGAAAGGACAGCGTCACTCCATGATAACATGAGATCACGAGTGACATTAGGTAACCCTGCATATGAACAGTCAAGAACCCATCAAATTTAGATCTTGGATTTGTTCCTACCGCAACTTGTTTCAAAAAGGACAAATGTGCATAGAAGGGAATACAATTCAAGACTGAGAAGATTAAGCACGGAAACCAAAAATTTAGCAACAGAAAATAAATCGGACATACCTTGAACTAGGTCTATCAAGACCGTGCTTGGGTTGAACTCTCCCTCGACCAATCGGTAGATATCGTACAACTGCAACCATACCAGTACAGCAGCAAATTATAAGAAGAAACAAGAAAATGGTGGGGGGTGGGGCAGTGGGAAAATATAATATCTCATATCTCATTAAAAACTCCATATTTGATCCAACTGAATTCACTTATTAATGTATGGGTATACTTGGCTACAAGCATGACAAGCAACTCAAAGGGCCAAGACAACATGAACCAATTATGTCACCTTACTTGAAAATTACCGGCCCGAAGCATTGACGATTCAAAGAGTTCTTGGAATCATCATGATCAGATGGAATTGACTGGAAAATAGGATTAGGGAACACTCTTTGCGCACCTCACGAACATGTAGTCGAGAGTCTTCTGTGAAAGCCATAAGAAGTTGGCGTCGCAGCTCAGCATCAGTCACCACCACCCGAGCACCATCTTTGATTGTGTCCGACAGGTCTAACGTTCCACCAGCTGGTTTTCTAGACCTTCCATTGCTGCCGCCATTTGTACTTGCATTTGCGGGTAGAGCACCATTAACTGGAAAGTTCCTGTTCGTCATAGTCACTTGCTCTCTTGCTAGAACGATGAGATTCTCCAATCTCTTCCACTGGAACAGACCATCTTTAAACAGCACTTGCAGGAGCCTCTCCCTCAGAGCTGGGTCTGGATCAGTCAACAGACGTTTGGCCACATAGGGGTATGCCACCTGCAGGAGGAAAAGTAGGTGCACGCGTGAGTAAGTGCATGAAGTCATTCCAAAACGTTTGAACCGGCTTTGATTCACATGTTGAAAAGCAGATGAAGTCATTCCAAAACGTTTGAACCGGCTTTGATTCACATGTTGAAAAGCAGATGAAGATAATTCCCACCTCCAGGAACTTGAAGTCAGGTGAAAGCGTCAGACAGATGCCTTCTTGCGTCAGCAATGATCGAATGACCAATGAGAACCTTTCCGGAATTCGGATTGGATATTGATATACAAGCTGGTTAAATTTCCCTGAAAGCATCAAACATGACATAAGAACACGTTATACTATGGAAAACTGTCATTGCGAGAGGAAACTGCACAAGAGGTTTGATGCTGAGAAGGCAAAATGTATTAGTGAAATGAGCGAATAAGTTTTCTCGCCATCTTATGACACATTTAAATGGAGCTTTACAATTTCAGAATAATAAGTACTCACCAGTAACAGAACGAAAGTTGAAGTCTGCCAATCCTTTGCCGGTTGAATTTTGCCAGATAGCCTCTAGAGCTGGTACAATGGGCGTTACATCAGTGCCAGGAGCTAGAAAACCTAGCCTTGTAAAATCCCCAGCCATCTCAACGTAATCTTCATTCACAGCGTGCACAACTGCATCTATCAAAATTTGCTTATTTCTCTGCCAAGTCCAAGTCCAACCCCACACGAACATGATCAGACCAAGATGACACCCCCGTCTTATGTAAATAAAGAGTTCTTTTTGTCATGAGCTACTACAAAAACAATACAGTTTTCACAAACTTGTTACTAGTCGCAATAATTAGCCAATACAATGTAGAGTTCGGACTTAGAAAAAGTGAGGGTAGTCGACATGAAATAGGAAATTGAAGGGCATACCTGACTAAGTTCTGCAACGTTCCCGAAGTCCACATAAGCAATTCGACCATCTCGCATGGCAAAGATGTTTCCGGGATGTGGATCGCCATGAAATAGACCAAATTCTAACAATTGCCGCAATGCAGCACTTACTCCTACTGTAATGAAAGCTTCTACGTCAATGCCCGCATCCTTGATACCCTGCAGTCGACAAGTTCTTTAGGGTGTGAGAGCCTGGTAAAGCTTACACCGGGTAGCTTATATGGAAATGGCTCTTCCAATGAAAGAGTTTTAAATTGAAGGTTAAGGAACTGCCTATCAATAATATAAAGCTGTACGAAATGTATAAGTATAATACACCAATGATTCATAAACTAAACAAAAGCGTTCATTACAAACCTGGGGATCAGTGCATCGAATACCATCAATCCATTCCATAATAAGGACTTGCGGGCCGCTAAGCTGCTTATATACAAGCGGAATTTTTACGGTCTTATCAACCTTGAAATTCTCGTAAAAATCTTCAATGTTGCGAGCCTCCTGCAAACACGAAGAGCGATACCATTAGCACAAAGATTTGTGCTCACAATCATATACCGAGAAATCAAGGTAGGTCGAAGGAATGGAGAAGCTTACAAGAGTGTAATCAAGCTCTTCGAGAAGCTTTTCACCAAATTCATCAACAATAAGCTCTGCATTACAACCCAGCTTCGCGACACTGTAAGGATTCAAGAGCGATGCTAGATTTCGGAACAAAAATAGATCTCTGTAGATAATTGGTTCTATATTCGGTCTTTGCACCTGCACACCAACCAAGTCCATTTGTGAGCATAAACTTTCATTTTGGGCCTGGTAAAAATTGCAACAGAAAAGATAGGAAAGATAATGTATGAAAGGCTTCAGAAAAGATAATTGAGACAAGGATAGTACTCACTTTTATGGCCACCTCCTCCCCTGTACTACGAAGCGTCCCGCGATAGACTTGGCCAAGACTAGCGGCAGCAATTGGCGAAGCCGATATTTTACTAAACACTTGCTCAAGTGGCACTCCCATCTCCTCCTCAATGATTTTGAACGCGATCTGTGAGTTCACGCCAAATTGCCTCATAAACGAAGGTCCAAAGAACCATACCTTCCAACACAGTGCATCAACATACTGCTGAAGCAACCCCGGCCAAATCTTCCGATTGTCCAGAATATATTCTGTAACAAATATGACAGAAGAGATTACCTCATTAGGGAAAGCAGGCACGTCGTCCTGTAAGATGCAGAGTTCATTCATGTAGTCCTCACGAACAATGTCTGGCCTGTTCGCCAATACCTGCAAAAAAAATCACCTCCGGAATTTGCGAAGCCACTCAAATTGCGAGAAGGGGGGCGGGGGGTAGTGGAAACACGGAAAACGAAAAGAAAAAAAAATCACAAAAGAGTAACAAACTATTAATCTCCGATAGAGTATCCACAAACCCTAAAAGGCGTACAAGCCCTTGAGTGGTATTACCTGTCCAGCTTTGACAAACGAAGGACCCAGGTCACACAAAAGAGTTCGGAGCTGGGCGGCACGCTTAGGAACCATCTCCTCGCCGCGCCCAACAAGACAATCGTAAGAAAGGTTGGCCCAGTAAAATCCCAGCTTAGTGATAATCTCCACGCCTCGACCAACGACAGAGAACAAGGCTCCAGGCGTCCCTAGAACTCTTTGACGAACCTTAGCAGAAAAGAAAGAGTGGTAAAATATGTCAACGATCAAAAACGTCAAGAGATTTCTTGTCTTTCATGTCAAAGGCCCATTAAACTGCGATGAGAATAACACGATGATTATGTGCAATGTCTGGCTCTGGATATTGTTAGTCTACTAGTTCTCAGCTTCAAATGCCTAAAAACTTTGCTGGGCGACCCTGGTTTCCGGAATTGGCTAATCAAGGGTTCAGTTCACGAGGCAAACATTCTCAAGTAAAACATTCTCAGACAGATTTCAACGTTGGAGGCTAAAGCATCTCAACTGAGAAGAAAAACGAACCACACGCTTACCCTATCAGGAGTATACTTCCGAAACGGATTGCAGACACCGCGCTCAAGCTCGAGCTCCTCCATAGCTCCCGAGGTGGAGGTCACGGTGGGCTGCATCAAGCTGTCCAACACAATTTGTTCCCGGTTAGGAAACATCTCAACCCTCTTCACGCTTCCATTTCGCGTCCCAGTGGCCAACTTCGCCACCACTCTCATGCAAGTCCGGCGTTTCTGAAGGCGCAGCAAGCCACCCTTACTCAACTTATCACCATTTCTTCCGGCCAGGATTGTGCCATGGCTGCTCCCCAGCTCACGATGATTTTTGCCCGCCTTCAAGGCAGACGACTCAAACAACGCCATCGCAGGCTGCATCACAAGGTGTTTCCCATCTAACGTAGCTGCCATTCAACTGTCTGCACAATCGTTGCCCCTCTCCTCGACCTCAAACTCTGTTCCAAAGGATTTCCTGGTTACTAAACCACATGCCAAATCCAGCCTCACGAACGCGCCGCCAGCCCCCTTACAATCAGATCAACTTTAGGAAAAATATGAAAGTTGTAATCTAGCGCCCAAGTGTGCAATCAGTGACGTGTTACTTCTCGAACCCGGCTTTTTTCGAGCGTCAGTAAAGCAATGACTCCGACACATCTGGTTGGGAGCAGAGCAGACGCAATTCCTGGCCTGCAAACATGAACAGAACGTACGGTTGCGGAATCCGCAGAGACGGGCACCTGCTTTCTAAAGTCGGGTTAACTGACGCGGAGCTCTTTACAAATCATCAGATAAGGACTGTGCGGCCATTGTCCGCACCAGTCAACTTAACTGAAATTTTAGTAAAAAACAAAAATTAACATATACCCGAGAGAGTTGGGTGCACCACTGATCCACCAGCACGAAAGCGACGAAAAGAGATGGAAAAGCCCGTCATGTATTGGTTGGGGTCGTAGACGAATCACATGTTGGAGATATCAAGTATATCGGGATGTGCGGGAGATGCAATTGTCCGATTCTCGACCACTCTTAATTCCTTCAATGACACATTTCCACCTTGACTCCCCACTCTTGGTGCATATGTGGCCTTCATTTCGACCACACAAATATATCCTCCGCCATCAATTTCTAAAATTGGATTTTAACACTAATTCCCAATAGGCCACATTGTTAAAGCCGTCAAGTTTTTCGCGACGTCGTAGATCGACACAAAATGCTGACGCTGAATGATGATACGTCAAATTCAATGCGGTGATCAAGTGATGCCTGTCGGCCGTAGTCTCAACGGGCGATAGTTACAGCGATAAGTTTTCACGCCGATTGCAACATCGCAAACTTCCTCGAGAACGTGCGCAACATGGTCATGGCAAATTTTTCACTCAACATTCGATGCACCAAGCGTGACCCCAACAATTACCGAGAACTCAGTTGCGTTCAAATACCAAATCTTAACTCCGATCTCAACCTCCTAGACCATGTCAAGTGAAACAGTAGTCTACGAAAGTGTACCACATGATCATCATACAGATTATGGACACCAACAATGCATAATGTGCGTTAATGTCATTACAGCGAAATGTTTCCTACCGAACAAAAGGCATTCAAGTTATGTGGATAATGTAATTGGTTCAATCCCTAACCATCTGCTGGCTATTAAAACCCAAAGTTGATGCAACGCCAGGCACTCGTGACGATCAAGTGTAACAAACGAGGAACCCAAAATTCCGCTTCATGATTCATACCCAGTACAAATATCTGTGAAGGATTCCATGTTGATACACGAGTTGTATTAGCTACCAAAATCTAGGTGATTATTTATACAAATAAAAACCAACATGCTACACATAATGTCTACACCGACAGCTGTTTTGAGTCACAAGTAAATTGATAGCTGGGAAACTATTTCTGACCGGAAAGAGAGGAGAAGATTTAAGACGTCCACATGGCATGCGCTTCTGTAAGACGAGGTTTAGTAGTCTTCCATGAACCCAACATTATGTACATCTCCATCTCTGGCCACAAAGTGCAGGCAGAACACAAATTTGAGAAAGATCACCAAACACACCGGAGTGGGATGAATGAAGCTGCTCTTGACTCTGTTCTGTTGCAGAATCTGCTGGTTTGTTGATGAAATAGAGTGGTGTCTTGCGTCGTCGTGTTGGTGTTCGTGTTCGAGATCGATCTTCAATGTTCGACCATCATCTGGGCTCAGCTCAATTCATTAGCGACTCTTGGGTGGCTTTGGATTTTTTTTACAGTTTGGTTTCGTCAAGGTCTAGAGGAACTCGTTAGTGGAATAGGCGCTATGGATTCAAGATTGCACAGGATTTTTGCTGGAGGCAATTCCAGCGGTGGAGCACACTCTGACTCGCCGCTTGTCGATTCTTCGGAGCAAGTTTATATTTCCTCCTTGGCACTCCTAAAGATGCTTAAGCACGATATGGTGGAATTTTGAGGTTTGTTGCCATGCTGAATTATGGGTGGACGGAGTTAGGTTATCCCTGATCAGTTCATGCTAGATAAGATAGTACTAGAACGCCTCTCGCTTGAGTTGCATGGAGTGCGTGCATTTCTCCTGACTTTTGTTACACTGATCACACAATACGTAATCTCCATCTTTCTGTACTTTAAGATTACCACAGAAGGACAAAGGAATACCTACTTCATCAACACCTATATTAGGATCAGGAGTTATTACAGCTCTTGCACAATGCTTGTTTCTCTTACCAAGAATGTATCTTCTTAATGTACCTTGCTTTCCAGATATTCTATTTATTAGAGATCCTTCGTTGTTTTCGAACGAGTCCTTTCCTATTATTGTACAGTACTCTTTGTATACAACAGGAGAATTACCATTGTTTCTTAGTATTGAACTGTACAGTCTAGCAAGGCTGTCCTCAGGACCTGAAGAGAGTCTTACCAAGAATGTATCTTCTAAATGTACCTTGCTTTCCAGATATTCTATTTATTAGAGATCCTTCGTTGTTTTCGAACGAGTCCTTTCTTATTATTGTACAGTACTCTTTGTATACAACAGGAGAATTACCATTGTTTTTTAGTATTGAACTGTACAGTCTAGCAAGGCTGTCCTCAGGTCCTGAAGAGAGTCTGATGCAATTAGGAACAACAAGTATATGATTCATTATGAAATCTTTAGGACTCGATAGGTCATAGCCCATAAATCTTATTTGATCGTTTGGTAAAGCACTAAACATATTTTTCAGAACAGCTGCTGATATAGTATAGCTTGGTTCCTTCTTATATCATCACTCGATGAAGAAGATGCTAGGGAATCATCGGATGTATTGCCATTCTCTATAAGGCACTTTGATATTGGTCCAGAGATGGCAAGAGCTGTTGAAAGGATACTGTGTGGTATTCAAGTTCGTGATATGAACATAACACTTCTTGTTGCTGCAGCTGTTGTGTTAGCAAAGTGTGGCAAGGCCATGTAGGTGATATCTTTGCATACATATCTTTCTTGCCTCTCTCTTCAAGTTCCATAATCCATGTAGAGCAAGCTTCTACCATTGTGCTGTAGTGCTTGCTCTTGTTACAGCTTAGACCAAGATATTGTACAGCATCATCAGCATCATCACAAGGGAAGCAAAACACTGCTTCCTCAACAACACAAGCTTCGTTGGTTGAGAATACGGCACTGGAGCTGTTGGAAGTAATAGTTGTTAATGATGATATCAGCTTGTAGTCCGTAGGTACTGTTGGGAAGAAGTCCGATTAGGGTTTATACATACATCCGAAATCACGCTCTCAGGATCTGAGGGAGAGTTTGTGGCAAGATAGTATATTTGATAAGAGTTGTCTACCTGATTTTACAGCTGATTCAATTAATGAAATTTCCAAATTCAATCAGCTAAAAACTCTCTTTCTTCTGAGGTTGCGTATATGATTGTTGTTTTTTACCTTCGTTTTCATGTTCTTATTTGTCCTGGAGGTCTCTCTTGCATGATTACAGTAGTATAATTTTAACCTGGTTTCGATTTTGGACATATCTGCAGGTAGAGCTGGAGTACCCATGGAGGTGATGGGGCTGATGCTTGTGGAGTTTGTTGATGAATACACAGTTTGTGTTGTGAATGTGTTCGCTATGCCTCAAAGTGGAACAGGAGTTAGTGTGGAAGCTGTTGACCCTGGCTTCCAAACCAAGATGCTCCATATGCTCAAGCAAACTGGCCGGTAAGTTAGGGCTCTTTCTCTGTATGTATCATGCTCATATTTCTTTTTAGCTTGGTTTTTGATGATGTGATAACTCAAAGGTCTGTGCAAGATGAAGTGCGACTTGATGCAGAGGTTGATGTACGTAAGTCGATTGTTGAATGTGTGAGTGTCAGTTGTGAATAAATTCTCAGATTTAACTATGAATCATATCTAGATTCCGGTGTGCATTTAAATTGCTTTGTGCACTTTTCAGGCCAGAAATGGTTGTGGGCTGGTATCATTCACATCCAGGTTTTGGTTGCTGGTTATCTGGTGTGGATATAAATACTCAACAGGTAAGTTAGGCTTGCACTAACTTTCGTTCTTGCGTTTTGGGTCCCGAATGTGCAACGGTGGAAACAATACCATGATCTAACGCAGTCTTCCATAGTTGGGAGACCGGTATCCCCCTCCAGAATCACTGCCAGTGTTCTAAAGCAGTATCCTTGTGTATTTGCAGAGTTTTGAAGCTTTGAACCAAAGAGCGGTTGCGGTAGTGGTGGATCCAATTCAAAGTGTGAAAGGAAAGGTTGTGATTGATGCTTTCCGATTGATCAATCTCCAGACAATGATGTTGGGACAGGAGCCTAGGCAGACCACATCGTACGTTGGTCATCTCAACAAACCTTCAATTCAGGTAATTATGTGTCAACCGTCTTTACCTCTTTTATTGGTCAAGTTGTGTTCCCTTAGCCCAGTTCCTACGCTGTGTTCAGGCAATTGTTGTTAACTAAATGTCTTTCCGGAGCTAAGATGGTGCTGGTATAGATTGTATCGTGTGGCAGAGGCAGAGCAGATAACCCGGACTTGTCAATCACATTAACACAACGCTGACCTATTTTTTGTGCGACTCATATCTTTTCAGGCATTAATTCATGGATTGAACCGCCATTACTACTCAATTGGAATCAATTACCAGAAGAATGAACTTGAGGAGAAAATGCTTCTGAACCTGCGTAAGAGAAGTGGACTGATGGACTAGTACTTCAGCGGTATGCTGAGCATGGAAAAGAAAATGAAGCGACCGTTCATGTGTGCCTCAGATATTGATTCTTGTGTGTTGCCATTTGGAGTGTGTCAACCTCCTGTTTGGTTAAGCATTTACAGAATCTCGTTATGGATAGGACTATTTAATTAGAGGCTATTACGTATAACTTTGACTAAGTGAACACGGTAAATATGTAGAGGTAAATGCATGCATGGATGTGCATGTGATTGTGTAATCTGCAGATGCAGTTCTGTATAAATTTTGCTTACACAAACCCCTGTGTGAGGTGCTTGCAGGAAATGTTGAATTTGGCAATCAAATATAACAAAGCTGTGCAGGGAGAAGACCAGCTCAGCCCTGAGAAGTTAGCCATTGCTAATGTGGGGCGTCAAGATGCGAAGAAGCACTTGGAAGAGCATGTTTCTAATCTAATGTCGTCCAACATTGTACAGACATTAGGCACCATGCTTGACACAGTTGCCTTCTAGTCAGAATGTTCTTGTGAAGTAGTAGCAAGCTGACTCATTGTCGCCAAGTGCATGGAGAT